CGGCGCAAGCCCCATCTCCAAACCGCCCCAAACACCCCCCCCTCCAAGCTTGTCCTCGGCCCCGAGTGGATAAGTATTTATGGGAGACCTCTTGTCTCTGCGCAGACCGGAAGGTGGGAGGGAGGGTAATCACGACATATCCTCAGATGCGCGCGATTCGAGGAGAGGGACTATGGAGAGGAAGAGGGGGGCAAGAAGGAGGGGCAAGAGCACAAGTTAGCTGAGCTGGCTGAGCGAGCGGCGAAAGCTTGTTGTGGGAAATTCCCCAGTTAAACGAGGCTTTTCGCTTCATCTCCACAGCAGCTTCGCGTTTTTGTGTGTCAATTCGACGTCGGCCGGGCAAGCTTGCTTGGCTGTTTCTCGAGGTGCTGGTAAGCCCCATCGTGTTCGCGATGCCTGTTCCTTGCAGCTGCAAGCCATATGAGCTCCCGATATTGGTTTCGGTTTTTCGACAACTTGCGCACAAACGACGTCTTGGCAAAATAATCATCGCCAGGTTTTATTATCGACTCTTTTCTCCAAACGCATCCAACAAGCTCATCATATGCTTCGGTAAAATTGAACTGGCAAAGACGTCTCAAGGGCAAGAGCAGCAAGTTCAAACAAAAGACGTGGAGAGAGAGACAAGCTTTTTTCAAGAGGCACACACACACACACACACACACACACACACACGCACAGCTTTCCGCCCTACTTTTTTTTTTGGATCGGCGACGCTGAGAGCCTCGCCCACCAACCCCAACTAACTAACTAGTTTGTTTCTAATGCATGCTTGCGTGTGGTGTGCGGGCGTCGTCGTGATCGTATTAAGAAAGAGGGGAGTGACTAGTTAGAGTCAAAAGGCCCCAATTACCATGTAGCGCATGCCCACAACACGGCGCTCCATTACGCATTACGCATCACGCATTACACACTCTATTTGGAAAAGAAATTGCAATTGATGCTGATGCAAATCATCAATTTCAAACTTGGGGTAACAAGGAAATCAAAAAGTTGCAAGGAAAAATATAAATGAATAAAATCTTCAGTTGCATACCATCAACCCCAGCCAAAAACTGCCGCCTCAATGCGCCTGCCATGCAACATGGCTCGCCAGACGGTTCCACCACACCCCTCATAACCCTGCCTGTACATATTCGTACTCTGTACGTACAATTGTACATTACTTACCAGTCAATTATTGATTACTTTTTTCGGGCTTCGATTTGCAGTTAGCCGACGACGGCGATCAAGGTTGCTGCAAGCCCATTTAGGCAGGCGATTGGCATGGGGGTTCGACGTCTTGCTACTTTTTTTTCTTCTAGCTTTTCACCACGTGTGCCTTGCCAGTTCACTATCGTGAATGGTATAAGAACTCCACCCCGGCGTGGTATACGGAACGTGGAGGTTCGATGAATAAAGTGCCCCGTAAGCCTCTGATATCGAAACGGGTCGATTACACGGACGACGGAGTAGAATAGTAAAAGAGTTGCGTTACTGGCACACCCACAGCGGCGTATTATTTTAATATCGACGGCTCTTGGCATGGGAATAGGAACCAGATCCCAGCTGGTTCAGAAAATCACATTAATTGAACGTGCCATATTGGCTTATTATGGGCGAGGCACGCGTAGCTATTACGTGACGGGCTTGTCTGCAATTGGCTCCCATCTTGCCTCCCCCTCACGATCCGGAGTATCTTCTCCATTTCAGTCCCCGAATAGGCAAGCCTTCTCCGCGCGAGCAGAAAGACAGTGTCCTATCCCCGTGCCCAGCTCTGCATCTCTTCCCTTGCCAAGCCAAGAAAGCCAACGACTGCGGTTCATAACACTTTATCGTCTCTGCCTTTTCGATTACATCATCTAGCTCAAGTCTTTGAGCCGAGGGCACGCCATAAATGCTTTACTGATTAGCAAGGTAGCATCTGGTCCCGCAAGCCTAACAATAGAGGGCGGAAGCAAAGCTTTCTGGCTCCTGTTGCATATCGAGCCATCAAGGGCTCGTCACGGAGGCAGCAGCGGCGTACTCAGTAGAAGAGTATGCATCGAGATGAGACAAGGCTGCGGAGCGAAAGGAGAGCATACTGCAGAAGGGAAAGCTTGTGTCTGTCATTGGACAAGCCACTCGACGACGCATGCAAGCCTCATCCTGACAGCACACACGCACACATCCCTGCTCCATCGAATTATCGGCTTGCACATGGGCTCCATGAACCTGCATGGTCAAGGGCCATCTGCAAGAATCCTGATATTGGGGCCGAGCAGCGCATGCCCACACGCCGGACGGCACTAAGAGTGACGGGCTGCAGGCCACCCTGCGTCATGGATCTCATCTGCGACCTCATTTACGGAGTGCCACGTAAGGTTTGATCGGTCGTCTCCGAACCAAATGTGAGAGCTACTGCCAACGAGGCTGTAGTCGAGTTGTGATAATTGCACCTGGACATGTGCCAGTGGAACGAGCCCTGACTTCTCCTACAATCGCTCGATTTGACCAAACAATGCTGCTCGACTCGATTACAACCATGCACGTAGCCTACTGGCACACGATGATCCTTTGCAGCCCCATTCTTCTCCCAATTAAATGTTGTTTAGAAGCAAAAAGCTCATGCATGTGCTAAGCCGGGCAACCATCCTCGAAATCAAGAAAAATCAACTTTTAACACCCCGATTCCTGTAATCTATTCGTGACACATTGTGAAAGGCATTTCTGGCCATCCAACGGGCAAAATAAAGGATAAGGAAGAAAAGACAGATTCCGTTGATAGATTCGAAGCAAACTGGTTTTGCTGTATGAAACCCGTTTCCGTGGAGAGTGCTGTGTACCTCTCGAGGTAATGCGTGTCGTTGGTGGTACAAGTTCGTCAAGAGGAGGGACCAAAAAAAAACAAAAACGAAAACAAGGGTGAAAACAAGATAGGACTAAGCAAGACATAGATCCAATGGATACTCAATAGGAAGACACCATGGGCTCGCTGGGATAGCCCATTGAGCCATCCGGAATAGTGCTGGTGATTCGAATGGGGATATAGGATGTCCCAGAGTCGTAGGCTGCGCACCCCCGCTTCTCCCAAGTTGCGTCCTGCTCGTCCTGATGCTGTACAGATCGTCCCTTGTGACGTACATTGTATCGGACGAGAGAGGCGGTACCCGGAGGTGTCGTGAGAACGACAGCTGGTCGCGGTGCGGGGGCGAGACGCTGTTCGTCGTTGGTGTCACCGTCGGCTCTGCTTCCCCACGACGTCTGCCCGGGTGAGTGTTAGCGCTGCTCCAAAGCAACAGGGGCATTTCATTGCAGGTCGATAGAGGGAGGTGGAGGTGGAGGTGGAGGGGGAGGGGGTTGCCGAGGGGGGGGGGGGGGCCAAGCGTACCATGTTAAGAGTGATGAGTGCATAGAGCTTAATAAGACCGTGAAAGTAGCCAAAGACGATGGAGAGGGGAAGGTAGGCAATGTCGGCCGGGTTGCGGCGGAACAGGCCCATGAGCTTGACGACCTTGGTAAAGGCAAACATGAAGATGAACTGGGCCCAAAAGGCATAGAGGCGACTGCCAAGATGCCATTCAGCTGTGGCCCACCAGCAAGCGGCCAGCAAAAGCGGGTCGATGGCAAAGGCGAGGGAAGTAAAGGTTGCAAAGTGCAGGGCGTAAGTGCACCATGGCTGCTGGCTGCATGATTGGGGAAAAAAAAAACTTGTGTGTTAGCGGCATGCAAGTTGCTGGAGTCGGGATCGACAAGTGTGTGTTGTGTCAACTTGTGTGTGGTTTGTATTGCAACTTACACCCAAACGTGCCTCTCACGGACGAGACTGGTCCAGTTGCTGCGCCAGTTGCTGCGCGCCCAGCGGGTGCACTGGTAGAGAAACTTGGGACCGTTTTCCAGCGTCGTTTCGAGCTCGCATTCGCGCTCATACTGGATCCACGTCTTCCACTGGTGGCTGACGAGCCATCGGGTGACAAAGTTGTCGTCGTCAGCGTTGAGAATCCACTTTCGCCATTTCTCATTCTTAAAGCCGTGCAGAAAGTCGTGGCTCTGCAGAATCTCCGAACGGTACGCGCCAGTCCGACCCGACATGCAAGAAGTGCCGCCATCCATGTTGTGCGTGGCCGAAATCTCAAAGTTGCGCCGTTCAATGTAGGCGGCGCCGAGCCAGTTCCACATGCGATCAGACAAGGGCGCATCCCATTCGCGGCGAACGCGCTGGTTAGTGCCGACACCACCCATCTTGGGATCCTCAAAAGGTGCGAGGATCCAGGGCATGAGCGTCGACGGCCAGGTGACATCGTCATCGGCCATGATGGTAATGGGCGTCCTGACGTGGGGTAGCGCCTCGCACACCTGCAGACGCTTGTTGGCAATGGGGGTATCAAAGACACGAATGCAAGGGTATCCCAGTGTCTCAACCAGCTTATCCAGAGCCTTTCTCTTGTCGTGGGTAGTCACCAGGATAAGTTCAGCCGGCTTGCAAGCGAGAATGCTCTGAAGCGAAGGGCGAAGATCCTCAAACACATTATGAATGGTTGGAATAACAACGGTGACATCCTCGTTAGTAAAGGTTGGCTTGGCTGCGATGGGTTTGGATTTGTACATCCAGTGGCTGACGCAGTGAACAAAGAGGCGAAGGTAGCGATGGAGCCTAAATATTGCTGTGTAAGTCGGCAACGGCAAGTACAAGGAACGGGCCATTCAACTTTACCAGAGAAGCCAAAAAACAACAGACCAAAATGTGGCAGAGTGCCAAAAGTCAGTTGACAGCCAGGACCATATCGGAAAGGTGAAGAATGGCCTGATTAAATGATCGATGTCGAGCTGCAATTGCTCCATGGTGGCGTGGAGCCTCGTGTCTGAGTAGCAAGGCTAGCTAGCAAGGTAGGGCGATGGTGGGAGCAGCATGCGCTGTCAGGTCGTGGCAGCAAGAGTAAAGAGACGATTTCAATGGCTTTGCAAAGAGCAAAATAAGGCTGTAGAAATCTCTGAGATTATATACCCAGCCGAAAAAAGAAGATTGCAAAAGTGTTTGTTGCAGAGCCAATAAGCGAGCCTGGCAGGGATTTATTAGGATAGCAAACGGCAGGGCGATGTGAGGAGTCGTAGCGAGTTAAGCGACTGGACCAAGCCAATGCGAGATGTTGATGATGTTTAAATAGTCTCTGGGACTCTCTGATGAATCAGACGCGATTATTTCAGTCAGACAGAGTGCAGAAGGCAAACGAAGGTAGTTATTGACGCCTTTTGAGGAACAAGAGAGCGAGCGTGCAGAGCGAGAGACGGCCGTGACCGGGGAGGGGGGGGGGTTTGCTTGACAAGGGAACAAGAGGCGGCAAGGGCTAGATTATCGCTGAAAGGAGCAGAAACATGTCGTGAATCACACCAAACCAATTGAAATGGCGAGAAAGAGGGATGATGTGGGAAGAGGAACAGGTAAACGGGTTAAAAGGACACGGCGGGATGAGCATCACGTCTGGAGGGCAATGGGATATATAGCTTGACAGCAGCTTGGCGGTTGAGAGGCAAGTTTTGAACACCTTGGGGTGTGTGCATGTGTGACCAGACCAGGCAGGTAAAGCGTGCCGATAGTAAACAAGAAAGACTGGGCTTCGAGTACAAGCCATAATTTAGGTCCATAACAGCCATGCATGAAGATGGGGAGAGAGAGGGTCTATTTAGTTTTGGACAAGTGCATGTGTACAATGTCACGTCTGGAGGAGCAGTGGATGGATGCATCGCAGAGGGCAGAGATGGACCTAGGCGGCTTTTTGGGGGGAGGGGGGTGGGTTCATTTTTCAAGCTCGCACGATGCCGGTTATGTGCGTACAAAGGCAGCTAAGGTAGGTACTACTACCCAGGTAAGAGGTAGTAGTGACCAAATTACCCAGCTTAACTTGGGTGCTTTGTTTTTGAATTCCCGTTTTTTGTTCTTATTTCATTCTTGTCCATTTCAATTGGACGAGGCTAGTACTTTGCGCGCACCTGCCACTTGCCAACGGATAACTAGCCGTCTAGCGTGCCAAATTATTACCTTGCGAGCGCTAAACAGAGCTGGTTTGTTGTAGACGGGAGCGGGCAGTGGGAGTACCCGGCCTGTACAACCTGCCACCTGCCTTACCTACCTTACGGATAACGCTTGTGCTTCTTGTTGGATGAGACAGCTCGTAGGCAATAATGCAGATATTCTGACGACAGGTTTGCGTGTATTGACGCCGGCATACATATCTATATCATGATGTATCGCAATAAATACTCTTTTTTCGGCGTGTACCTTGATGCGTACATACGTACGACGATGCTGCGCCCATGTCACAGCCAACGTACCTACCTACCTACCTGTTGACATCCGAGTCAATGTCCAGCACAGAATCACGTCAAAGCAACGCTACTCTGCGAATTTACAGGTGGTGTTGCGTCGGCCAACCATCAAGACCCAGGTACAGGTAATCACCTGCAGACGCCATCTGCAGGCGCTTACAGTGGGCTCCAGCCACTGACAGCCATTGACAGCCACTTACAGCCACTAAAAGGTGGAGTATCCCAGTGAGCCAAGGTCCCTCAGGCGGGCCTCTCAAAGCCTCCGAAGCCTCCAAAGCCTTCAAAGCCACCAAGGCCACCAAAGCTCCCCCATCAGCATTCAACTTTGTCGTTTTAGGGTAGTTTTAGCTGCCTACAAGTCCACTAAAACGACGGAGCACAGCGGGCTTGGGGGTATCCGTACCCTTCATGTACAGTACTCGTCAGTTCAAGCCATCAACCGACAACCGTCCCTCCATCAACACTGCCACTCCACCATTCCTCCCCCTCTTGAGGTCTTCACTGCTCTCTCTACATCTACACCTCTCCATCTCGACGCTGATTTACCGACTAACAAATCCAATCATCTCTCTACCCACGGCTCACTTTTTGTCCTCCACCATCGTATCTTCTCGCTCAGGCTTTGCCTGCCCGCCTCTCTTGTCTTGCCTGCACTCTGCGTTTGCAAGCCCACAGACACTGCGACTCCCCGTCCCCCATCTAATATCAGTACGCATCCTTGCCAGGTTTGCCATGATACGGATACTCCAGACCACACTCTCGACTTCTCCTCATCCCCAAGCATCCCACCCAACAACTCTTGGCACGCCTGGCACCCTTGCATTCTCGATGGACCAGGATTGCTAGCGGGCGCGGGGAGCCACTCAAGACCAGTTCTCCAAACAGCTTCCTCAATGCTAGCTAGCAATCTGCCACTGCCTTCGAGCTATCCTGGTTGGCTTCCAACACCTTGGGCCTCTCAATTGCTTGCCATCTCGGCCTCGCAAGTGGCTCTGCCCAATCGTCCTCTTTACAGGTTCGGGCGCCTACCCGAATCAAATCGCTCCATCACTTTCGCCGCCCAATCACTGCTCCATGTTGCCTCTCCAGCCATATCACGCGATGCCGGACAATTTCACCTCGGGGGATCGGCGTCCGACCAGCATGGTCCTGCCGGTTGCCGTCAGCAGCAGCAGCAAAAAAAAAAAATAAGCAGGCAAGCAGGGTCCAGCCTTCAGCTGTCCTCATCCTCGACTTTGCCTCGCCCCTCTTGGCCCGCAGACATCCTTGGCTCTTGGTTCTTGTGTGACGACTGCTACTCTTGCGCCTGCGCCTGCGCCTACTTCACGCACTCCTTCGTCATACACTGCTACCGACTGCCATTGTCTCTTGTCTTACAGTTTGGCCTTGACCGTTTTTCTGCAATCTTCTGCTCAATGCAGTTGCTGAGCCGCTTGATTCTTTCACAGCTGTCTCTCGGCAAGTCTTGCCACGCGCCACGTCACGCTAATAATAGCTAGTAGTGACTGCTGCAGGTCTCGCTAACCCTCCCCAATGACGAGCCATCCCCGGTCTCACGCGAGCCTCAACGGCATTCGCTTACACTGAATCGCCCTAGATAATCAGACCTAACGACAGACCTTGCGTATTCAGTCCTCGTCCTTGGAGGCACTATTGCCGCGAGCTTCTTGCACATTAGCTCATTTCAATGCTTGCGTCTCTGCACCATAGGCGAGTGCACTCCACTGTATATCACAATTCCACGGTTTCCTTGACCGGCTCCAGTGCATTCCTTCTTAGCCCGCCGTATGCCAATTAGTCGAGTCTGAGGAAACCTATTTCCAATCGGGCTTTTACGATGGACGAGAAAGGTGCCACATGACTCCAGTGGGCGTCGAATTGTTCAGAACTTATTTATCCGCCTACACGATCCTCTAGGCTCCCATTTCTACTTAGCAGCTTAGCAACTACTACACAGTCAGAGTCTGCTGACGCTTGGCTGTTACTGTCCAGCATGAGCTCTCTGAGAACACGAGCAGACTCACAATTTTCTGGTCTCGGATACACCAGAGCCGCATCCTTCTGGTCCCTGTGGCCTGTCATGACTGATCAGTGGGGTCATCGTGCTGGCTGGCAAAGCAGCAAAGTACCAATTGCTCTTGGTGAGGACGGGCCGTAGCGGCGCTAGCATAATGCGCCGTCGACCGAAGGTGTCTGATTACGGAGTTTTGCTACCAGATACCGCAGTGGAGCTCTCAATGGCTTTGTTCGCCACACATCAGACTGCCGCCCACTCCAGAGCTTGCATGTTGGGGCATCTGGAGACTGGATCGTTGTGCTGTCAATACTCCATTATGGCTGCAGTGTGATCCCCCCCAAGATCCATGTCCCTGGTTATATTTGTGAGCAAAGTTGAGCCAATTGACTGCGATACAGATGCACACCAGTCACAAAAGCGACTTGTCGCAATGCCCTCGGTCAAGAGTAGCTCGCCTCGGTTGCAAAGCTGGCGTTTCTCGTTGGCGCTAGCCTTGCATGCATTGTTCCACAGCCTTGAGCCACGGAAACCATTGGCATGTGGAGATTGCTCTTCGTGCAGGGGTTGATCACCTCGTTCAAGTTGGCCAAATGGCTGTGTTGGACCTTTGTTATGAACTCTTGCTTCTTGTTGAGCTTGGCTACCTTAATTATTAGTTACTGGGCCTCGCGTGTTGCCGCTGGTCTTTGTCTTGAGGCAGGTGGAGAGCCCCACCATGGCTATCTAACTTTGAAAAGTCAGAGGACTTTTGAACGAGATGGGCCGCGTCTTTGCTTGACAAGCAGGATTCGTAGGCGTTTATTTCATGTTTACCTACTCCAATTGGCGATGGCTAGCCAAGACAAGGACCCGTTCGGCTGTGCTATCTGACAAGTAAGTATCTCCACAACAATATCACTCACAGTACGATGCATTCTTACTGTACCGGCTTCCCGATTTACTCGGAGTGTGTCATCAATTATGTTTCGAAGCTTCCCCGATGACAAGTCTTCAGCATTAAACGGGCTACATTTTCTTCGGAGACAAGAATTCGATGTGTTGGGCTCGAATCAATCACAGCGTCACATTCACGTGCTAGCGAGGTTACCTTGGTGTTTGTCTCGGCCGGCTAGTTGTCTGGCATCTGGGCGATACAGTGCTCTAATAAAGTTGAGGATGCACTGCTGACGGGCAGGTCTTGCAAAAATACTCGATCGCAGATTATGCACGTCGCAAATTGGCCCGGTTGCTGTGCCATGCTTCTTATCTGCCTTCCATTTCTAGAAATGATCAGGGGTTGTTACACTAACTCGTACGTAGCGCAACAGATGAAGGCTTTTCTTTGCCAACACATGTGTCCGACGAACAACCTGGTAATTGCTACCCCTTGATCAATCGACTTGTCTTGTTGTTTCCAGTGGCTGGATGTCAAGGCGTCTTGCATCACGGCTCAAATCCCGAGACTCCTGACAGCGGTAGGGTAAGTGACACAATGACGCACAAGATGACAAGTTAAGAAATAACTGTAACCTAGCATGCTGGCAATATGGAGACAAGCATTTTTTGGGGTTGCACAAGTTTTTGCCTGCACGGACAGTGGATCAAGATCCCTCCCGATTTAACACTCTGGCAAACGTCCAACAAAAGTTTTGTTCCAACACACGCCACATTAGAAAAATACGCACCTGTTATTCAGGGATATCACAAACATGGTTCGATTGACAGCCGTTTTGCTATTGTGGGCTGACTTTCCGACGCCGCTGCACTTTTTTTTGCTTGTGGATATACATGGCCAAGATGGATCCTCAACAGGCGAGAGCAGCCCATCTGTCGCTGCAAACGAGAGGCGATGGCGGACTCTCTCATGTGATATGCTGTCAAGGGGATCCATGCATGCTTCATGCGGAGAATAGCGCCATCTTTGGGCCTTTGCGCTGAATCTACAGAGCCCCCCTTGAGAGCGTAGGCTGTTGATTCCGCCGCGTACCCTCCGATGCTACCTGCATACCCTTTTCTTCGATTTCCTTTGCCTTGCAAGGCAAACGGACGGGCCTTTGTGCCGGCCTGACACCATGCATATTAATAGTTACTGATATCGGAGAGGATCTCTGGCAACAGAGACGACCCCCTGCAACAGGAATGGCCAATCATTCGAAAACCTTTCCAATATCAGTTCCTCCGCGTTGAGGGAATCATTGGTAATACATGCCGCGGGAGAGGTTGCCTGGCTGAGAGACAGACGCGCAGTCGTACAAGTTTCGCAATTGGGCAAGGCACATGGCAAGGCAAGATTTAGCGGCGCTTAGCCGCAACTTCCATGGTTTGACAGCTTATCATTCACCATGTCACAGAATCGTGGCACTAAGCAGAATGTGTTGGACACGAGGCCCCTTGCGAGGTAAGGGACCGCGGTTCGCGCCCGCTAACCGACGCGCAAAAGCCGATGCATCATACCCATTGACATCAAGCCACTGCTCGCCGCACCGATCATGGATGTGTTACCACGGGCAGAAGCTTCTCGAATTTCTGATCCGGGTGCTCTCACGCGGCACCGGGTGTGACAGCCGAAGCTTCGCCCTGGACTTTGATTCCCCGGCCCTGCGCCCTCAGCTGCATGTCAACGGCTAGCAGTCGGCAGGTTACATTTGAAAGGGCATGTAAGAGAGTAGTGCGAAGGGAACTTGCCGGAGAAGTGCTGCCACAAAAAAAGGCCTTGAAAGAAGAATGTTTTTCACTTCAAGACATGGCAATTGTAGTACAGACCTTGTGATCGGGCAGTCAACGATGGGGACACCTTCCATGTCTCTTCCTTTGACACTCTAGAAGACAATGCCAAGGAAAAATGTCTTTCATGCCAAGTGAGAATGTCTTGTATCGATTTCGGACTCGGGCTATTGTGGAAATGTCTTGAAAGAAAACTGATCCCGGTCCTACAAAGGTTTTGGGTGAGGAGACTTGGCCACTCAACAAATGTACTATTGCGACACTACAGAGTGCGTAGCAACTCAGAAATCAGTATTCAAAAGGAAATCTTTGAATTATTGGTGCAAATATACGTGTTAAAATCAACGTTGATTTGAGGCGAGTTTCTGAATTGTGTCCTAGTTCCATGTCACAGCACGAAGGTGAAGCGAAAGAGCAACAAGGCAGCTAGGAAGTACATGAGGAATAGCTAACATTTGTACTAAACCTGTACCAAAACTCTTCCCTTTCAATTTTCATTAATTCTTCGAGTGATTCTATTTTATCTATTCTTTTTTTTTTTCAATCGAACCTTTATGTACAGCAGCTCATGCTGGCAACCCTCTGGCACATATCCCATCAACCCACAACAGGTGGCATCAGCCAACATCTCTCTAATCTTGCAAATGCTGTTTTTTAAAAAAGGGCAAACATTTTGCGCTCCGCACACCGCGTTCTCGCCCGCATGATGCCCGTCCCTCGGCACAATCACCAAATCAAAAGTCCTTGTCCGCCTCAATCAGCTTTGTGTCGCCAGCCCCGCAGCGTCGACGCCGGGTCGAACATTATTGTCTTAAGCCGCCGCCTGACGCAGAGCATCAGCGCGCCGCCGAAGCTTTGTGCGCGTGCGTGCGTGACGTTGGAAGCACCGGTCGTAGCTCTCGTCGACGGGGGATAGCCCCATGAAAACATCTCCACTCCACAGTAAGGCGCCCAGGCGGGTTTATCGTGGGACCCGGCGCGCGCGGGCGGACGGCGGGCCTTGTAAAAAGTCGGCGTGGTGGAGCACGGCGGCGGCGGCGGCAGCGGCGGCGGTTTTGGCCTGCCGGCAGAGTAGCCGTAGCAGCCTACACGCGACAAGTTCATAAAACGGACGTGTGTTTTGGCGGCGGGCGCGTATCCAGGCAATTCGATCGGGAAACCCGACGTCTTTGATTGTTTTTGTAGCAAATGTTGTGAAACGTCTTTGATCGCCAGTTTGTACCCATTCCTTCGGAGCGGACGACGATGAAGCCCTTGTCTGCCAAGGCTCGCAGGTCGGTGGAGGGCCAAAATGCCTTGGGCGTGTAAGGTCCTGTGGGCCGGCATATGTGTACTCTATCACGGGATAGCTCTTTGTCTCATCAAGATTGCTTGGGTAGACTAATGTGCCGTAGATCTGGTTCCTCCCGTCCCGCCCGGGGGGCATTGAATCTTTCGACCAGACGCCACTTGCCTTTTAAATCAGGGCTGAGATGCTCTTTCTGCAGGAATACTACTTCTTTGCCAGTTTCTGCATCTCGAACGGCCGACGTCGGCAAATAATCGACTCTTGACCAGGTGTCAATCAAAAAGCGCCGATTCGGCCCCCATTGCCAAGTATGCGACCCGTCGCCTTTAGTAATCACTTGGAGCATAGAGCCATCGAAATTGACGGAGACGAGGTGTGCATAGTAGGGGTCTTGACCCGGCATGATACCCAATACGCGAACCCACAGCTTTCGTGTCTTCACATCAACATGGTCAATGAAGTGGACATTCCATTCGCCCTTTGTAATCTGGCACTTTAGTTTCCCATCATTCAGATCAAATAGATAGATTTGGTTCCGATTATTCCTTTCGCTAGCCCACAGAAACTCATTTGTGCCGAGCAGAAGCTTGAAATATGTCTTCTGGTGATAGTCAACAAACGTGTCACTCTTCTCTTCGGCTAGGACCTTGACAGCCCCGTTTCAGTTAATCTCCAACAGACGCAAATGTTGATGGCCGCGCTCGTTGAAGACAAAGTAGTACTTTTGGCCATCGCTCGACCAGCCAATGCTAGTGATTGCATACGGGTTGGCAAATAGAGAATTGTCAACAAATATCTCATCTCCGGTAGCGAAGTTAAAAAGACAAGGCCGTTTCACTTCAACGTCATCTCCAGCCCGGAGATACTCTCCGGTCACGAGCTTTGGCCGAAATTGATCCTGCGGCATCACGTCAATCAGATGCAGCGATGCCTTGGACGCTGGCTTGCACTGCATTGCAATCGCAAACTGCCCATCTGGAGATGAGTAGATGTCTTTGAATTCATTGTCACTGAATCCACGGAAAGAAACTTGGCTCTCGTAGCCGTCAGGCTTTCGTACCCAGACGTTGCCTTTACGCAGAAACGGTTCAAAGCAAGAACCGATATCTTGTTTGGGGACTTCATCTAGGTCATTTTCCATAATAGGATCCGACTGCCAGGAGAGAGATAAACCCAGAGGAGAATCCTCAATCACGGCTGTGCAACGACGACTTTTTAACTGAAACGCCACCGAGCTTCTCGTTGCAGACTCTTGGAGCTCCAAGCGCCAGTAGTGATAGAGCCAAGAGTTCACCACGCGGCTTCGGCCACTCTGCAATGAACCGCAGAAGCGAGCATCATCGTCGTTGCTGATCCACTTGAAATCAATTCGCTTGGTAGTCTGATTGACAAGCGTCACCGCAGCCGACTCGCGCGACCAAGGGGAGGCCATTTCCTGGCAACCCCGGTCAAAGCGACCCTCATGAAAGTCCCCTTTCCACTCTATCAAAGTGCCGTCTTGGGAAATCTTCCGGACTTTATCCTGATATTTGAAGCAGACATACTCGGCGCTCTTGTCTATATCGATCCAGGAAAAAGGCAATGCGTCATGTTGCCCAAGCTGTCCATCCCGACTTAGCTTGGAGGCGTGATCAAAGGCCAAGGAGCGGTGGCCTTTTTTCACAATCGACGACAAAGAACATGAACTTGTCGTCGGAAACCTCACGTCTATACCCAAAAGATGCTCGTCGAGCCCGGAAGCCATCGTGGAATTATCAGAGCGCTACGAACGCAGGCTTCCTCGAAAGTGGTAATACACTTGTCCGACTCCATAGCGCAAGGGTTATTGAAGATGTACTTGGGTATTTCGAAACTACAAGATCATATGGAAGAATCATAGTGATTTCGGCTGAAACCCCATGATTTGGTCACGCGAAGAGTTGTTTCTTCTACAGCGGAGATGGTAGCCATACGATATTTGACCATCTATAGTGCTCCTCATCGCCAGATCGGCGCAGCAGAAGGCCCGGCTTAGAAAGGCCATTCTGAACTCTTCTACACCTTCTTAGCCTGTCTTCGTGAATAGCGCGATCGTGTCGCTATAAGCGTCGTCGGCATTGTTGGTAGGCTTCCCGAGTGAGGTTGCGCCAGAGGTACCGCAAGAAGGTTCTGCCCGTGTTACCGCCAGAGACGGTTTGTTTCGAGTACGGTTGCAAGCGGGCTTTTGTTTTCCAGAGCATAGACATAGAATTCAGCTTTGTGCCAGAAAGTCTCCCCCCCCTCTTTTTTTTTTTTTTTCTTTCTTCACGTGCAAGGTACGTTAAGAAAGGGCGGCGATTAAAGCTTAAAAGACATTTGGCGCATTTTGCTGTTGATTCAGTACGAGTTTAGTGGCTTCGTTATACCAAATAGAGGGTGTGATAGAACTCAGAGGTGGTCTTTTAACGAAAAGCCAACAGAAAAGTCGTGGCGGGCTGTGTTACGCGGTGTGATATGTGACACTTTTACGTTGCTGGGGGTTGATTGATGGTACGCCAGGCACTATCTCATCTCAGGTTTTCCTCTGGTATTCAAGAAGGATACATCACTAGATCTGCTTCATTTGTTACGCCGGGCTTTTCGATCAGGGTAAGCGCAATGGGCTCCCACGGCTTGATTCGAACAATGTTGTCGTCATGCTCGTCATCTCCGTTCGTCGCCATTGTGTTTTCCGGCGCCTGATTTTATATGGTAATTGTTGCCTTTATTACTGCGCTCGCCATCCAAAGTCCTGGACTCTAAGGCACAAGACAAGCTCTTAGCACACGTCGGCTGCCGTGAGGGGTCGGCTTGCGCGGGTCCTAGCAGATGCTGGCAAAGTGCATTGGGTAGCTGTCGGGCCCAATGATGAAGTAGACAACTCGACCCGGAAACTTGCATCGGTGCCGTCACGGCTGCCGACATCGTTTTGCTTGATCGGGCACTTATTCATGTAAAAATGCAATATGAAGGAGGGCTGTAAAGGGCGCGTTTCTCAACTCTGGATGCCGAAGACTCGGTCATGATGGCTACATTGTGCTGTCTCCCTATTGCTGTCGTAGCAGTAACGCCACAGTTGGCTGGGGAACACAGAAGCGTGCAGAGTGGTGAGGGTGGAAATTCTGTCTTGTTGACAGAGCGTTGTTTGTTTGTTTTCTTGTATGTAATTGGGTTCGAAGCGGTCGTCTTCTCAGGACAACACATATGGCACCTTTTACACCTTTTACATACTTTAACAGGAAAGTGTCAAATCACCTTTTATTTCCCTCAAGTCTCAAGATGACAGGAGGTATTGAAGCGCATAGCAGCGCATAGCAGCGCATAGCAGCGCCCATTCATAACTTTTTGTCCTTGATATGCAGTCAATGATGAAAAACTGGGGTATGCAAGGTAAACAGCGGCTCCTCGGGAGCCGCATTGATAAATACATTACTGGTTCCGTAACGAATGGGGAATCTACAAGCTACCCCATATCAGTTAGGTCAGCGGGAGGCCCCCCGAATCGAGTTTTAGAAACTATTACCATAGCCGAGGAAAAAAGGGAGAGGTAAAGAGGGGTATGGTGAGCAGCTCAAGGTCTACAAAGAGATGATTCGAGCACACCTATTGATGTTGGATTCACACGAATTTGGTCATGGGCGGACCAAAGCTGGTTCGTTGGCTCGCTGCAGATTGTGCTGTCGCATGCATCGAGCAGCCAAGGCCAAGGCGAGTCAACGCGACGCTAGCACAGGACCAGGAGGTTTTCGTGTGACCAGCGTGACCAATGGTAGGTGGGCAACAAAGAAAGGTTCGCTCAGGTTCTTGTCCTGAATTGGGCGTCACCGACGAATGATTTTTTTCATTTTTCCATTCTTGGATTGGTTGACGTCCCTTTATCGCGATCGATCGGGAAACTTCCTGGAGAACAGAGTAGGAAAAAGCCTCCAATGCGTACTCACGTCAATCGGCAAGTAAGTTTCTTTTCTCTGTACGAAGCGGGTAAAACGGCGCACGTGGTGTGGCCTGAGACGAGCTACGGACTCGGTCTTGGTCATTTCCGGATGAGAAGGGGACTGGGAGAACTCGACTGTAAATGTTGGGTATTGGCAGCGTGGCCAAGATGGAGTGCCAAGCAGTGAAGCACAGACATGGAGACGCCTGGTTGGCGCCACGAGCCATTTGCCATTCTAGCTGGTGCGCTGGCACAGCCTGGCAGACAGCGATTGTGGGGTTAGTTTTCCCAGGCGAAAGCAAGCTGTAAAAATTGTGTGTCGTCATGACGTGTGTCGTGATGGATTGCGCCGTTTCACTGTTTGTGTTGAAGGGTAGTATGCTTGCGCTGCTGATTCGCATTGTCCAAGCCAAACATACAGTGGTTGAGCGCCTTGACTAGGAGGTTTCAAGAGCGGCATTTTTGGCCATTTCTTTCCCTTTGTTCATTCTCGCGCACACATCAAAAGAGATGTGACTTGCGCAGGCAAGAGGGGCAGACATTTTCCGCGCATATCACTGAGGGGTGAGTAACCGGGCGTTCCGAAGCGGATCGTCATGATGGATGCAGGGGTGGGTTGAGGCCAAGACCGGTTGGCAGTCCGGAGCTGAGCACCTACAATACAACACGCTATTATGCAGGACCGACTAAACAACTGCTGCTGCTGTTATTTCGGCACCCATCTCACAGCATCTAGGAGCTGCTGACGGCGCATGCATGCTGCAGGCTGTGCTCGCAGTCGCTTGGCCTGTAAGTGTGTGCGTGTGCGTGTGCGTGTGTGTGGGCGTCGCCGCCGCGGCACACGGAGACGCCTTTTGTGGCTGTGGGCGGGATGCCGCAAGCAGAAATGGCCCGATAGGCAACTTGGTCTTGTTCGAGGTGGACGAGGCGGACGAGGCTTTGCAAGTTTCAGCTTGGCACTGTCGAGAGGAGCAGGACAGACGAGCAAGACGAGTTCTGTGTGGTCAGAGTAAAAGGCTAGATGGGAAGGAGGGTGGGGGGTCCAACATACTTGGTAGTCATTAGTGCGGTGGCGCCGGGCGTCACCAGCTATAGAAGTACCGCTTGATTGACGATGCTGATATTAATCGAGACGTAGGAGGCATCGACAAGATGGCGGGACGAGTACATGTTGGGCCTATGATGGGTATGTACGTAGACTTGTTCAGATGACGGGCAGACAGACAGCGAAGACAGCGAAGCGGCGAGAATATAGCGAGGTGGGAGCAAGACAGCGTTTGCGTGTCGCGTAGATGATTGCATCTTGACGTTGAACCAGAGTCATGATCTGTGCGTGTGGTTGATGATGCTGGCGTTGTGCAGGAGAAGCGGGGGATGGCAGACGCTGGTGGCTGTACTAGGGTGACGCATCAACCGTGGCACAGAGCGGGGAGCCTCGATGGCAGCGTGACCAGTGATGTGATGCAACTATCAAGAAGAAGATAAGGGAACAGAGGCATATGTAGAGGAACCGATGAAGTAGTTGGACAAGACGAGGTTTTTGGATAACTATCAGTAGTTACTGTTGGCGCAGGCGGGCTGTGTGTGGCCTGAGGCTGAGCATCGACTACTTGTAATTTCAGCTAGCGTCACGCCGACAGCCATGCTTACTATGATCGTTTATTAATAGACACGACGATAAATCACTCTTTAATTGACGCGAACTTTCTTGTCGCGTCGGCCTTTTTGGCGACCAGTGAGCAGCAGTCTGAAAATCCGTCCAGTGCTGTCCAATTTCCATAACCCCCTTGTCGCCGTCCCCGGCCAGCATCCCACTATTCATCTCGCAGTGACGCAGGACCCCAGCATCATCTGTTCATTTCCTGATAGGGCCGCCGTTTCGCTAATTTGATTATTATTGCTTCTTTTATCAAGACTTTCATCTCCGCCTTTTCGTTCTCCCTCTTAATCTCACTTGCAGAGTATGTACGTGGTATGTATCATCCAGTACTACGCTAGACAGACAAGAGCGCCACGGACATTGTCACAGCCACTAGTAGGACTTTGTAGACGGCCAAGCCCGAGTGTAGTTGTAAGTATTTTTATTCGGCCAAGAAGATTCGTATGCAGAGTGGCTCAAGGCAGAGAGGTGCAGGAGCTGTTGTTATTAGCCGGTTTGCCGGATTGTAGGGGACCCGAGTTCTCTGGGCATGTACCATATCGGGTCTGGTGTCCGGACTAACCGGCATGTCTTGGATGAGGAACCATCTGAACAGGCTTCCTGTAATCCGTACCAGTAAAATGTTCCAAGGCAAATGAGCAAATGGCACCCTGGAAAGCGGCATTTCTGGTATTTTGCATGGGCTGGTGGAAAAATGCTGCTGTATTTTAGCGTGTGTATATCCACTGTAGCTGGTGAAATGCAAATTTATAGCGCCATCTTTGACCAAAAAAGCAGACCCTTAGCGTGCCTAGCACGCCTGGGTGGGTACGTGGGTACCTAGCCAGGTGGATGGTAGGTTCGAACATCTGGAGTAAATAATTATGAAATGTACCCATATAATCCCAAAACGGCCTAGGTTGAGCCCCTCTTTGTTCTAATCTTTCCCATTTACTTTTCGGCTTCGCCTCTCCCTCTGTGCCTCGTCGGCGGATTCTAGGTTGTCTCTCTCAGCCTGCTGCCTACGTCTCCTGAGCTTATTCCTCGTCCTTCATCGTCATCTCTTTTTATTTTATTTTTTTTTCCCTCTTCCTCGACAATCTTCTTCCTCTTTATTTTTTTCCTGCTCTCTCCCCTCTTCCTCTTCCTCCTCCGCGTCGCTTCGAATCACCCAACATATTCTTTTTTTTTTTTTTTGGATACATTTTGTCGTTTCTGCAGTGACCTGCAATCAGGCTACCTACCCACCTGCGCTGCACTCCTGCAACCACACCGCATCACTCACCCAGCTGCGACAACAACAACAACGGCCCGCCTGGACTCGCCGTTTCGCCTCGCAATAGATATACTCTGGGTCCTGCCCGCTTGCTAGAGTATACTTTTGCTCGCTCGAAGCTGTTCAATTTTGTCATGGAATCTCTTTAATTTCCTCTCCAACATACAACGCTTTCGCTGTCTGCTGCTGCAGGCTTAGCGTGCCCGTCATCGCCAATACCATCCCACGCGACTGGTCACTGGTAGCAGCAACACCACCACCACCGCCGCCACAACGACAACGACAACGCAGATCTGCAATCTGGCCAGCCGCTATGGCATCCCTCGCCAAACAAAAAGCCACCGCTGGCGTCTCCCACGACTCGACGCACTCGTCCAAACTTCGTGGCCGCACAATTGTCAAGCCCATTTTGAAAAAACTCAACTCGCACTCCACCTCTGACAGAGGATCCTTGGATCTCGATCCTGCCTGGGACGACCTACCCTCCCCCCTCATCCGCCCCTCTGCCGAATATGACTGCAGCTACGCTGATGCCACCGGCACGCTTCCTTACCACCACTCGGGCGCCTACGACGTCTCTGCTGCCGCCACGACCGCTGCTGATGCTTTTCGATCCCGCGATGTGAGCTTCTCGACTTCGGCATCCCTCGAGTACCCTACTTGGCGCTCCAAAAACAAGTACTCCCACATGCGATCAGCCAGTGGCACCTCGCATACCTCGTCCATTGCCACAAATGTCAGCGCCCGCAACGGAACCTTTGTGCACCCATTTCAGCAAACTCCCAGGACCGCCACACCTTCTCTGTCTTACGCCAACTCCATCGCCTCCATCGACGCATCCGCACCAGTTTCCCGCGAGTATGCCTCCACCATCACCGAATACGACGACCTTATTTCAACCGCCACCTCCTCCTCTGCGAATCTACCTCCTCGCACCACTTCTCTCACCAGATCAGCCACCTTTTCGCCGCCTTCTCGCTTCCGTGGACCCTCGCTGGACGAATCCCACCCCTCCCTGACCCTGTCAGACGGCAGCCACACGCCTAGGCAGATTCCCACCAGCCGCTCCAACTCTGTAGCCACAGCCGTGTACATGCCCGAATCCACAACCCATGATTCTGGTCTTTCTCCCACTTCTTGCCAGATGCCACCCATGTCAACTTCCATCTCTTCCTCTGGGACTCCCACATCCTCTTCGCCCTTATCGCCTCTACGCAGCTCTCTCGACATTAGCGGGTTTCGCCTGCGTTCTCGCAGCGAGGTCGACACCCGCACGCACCAGGAGCAGGTCCGCGAGGCTCGTCGCAAGTTTCAGGAAAAGGAAAAGGCCAAAGACGAAAAGCTTGCCCAAAAGCAGCTGCGCCGTCGCGAACGTGCCGACCAAACTCGTGATCGCGCAAAGATTCGCAAGAGCACTACTGGCTCTACATGCACGGCCAAGTCATCCGCCACCACCGGCCGCTATGCTGCTAGCCATGTCACCAACGAGTATTCTCATGAAAAGTCCGACTTTGCCAACACTGGTGCCTACGATGATGTTGCTGCCGGTCAAACTCCCGCCAGGGCCGATGAAGTCCAGTTCCAGCGACCACAGCGTCGCAAGGGCGCCAAGCACAAGACCAACGGCGCCTGGACCGCCTTTATGCTCTGGCTCCGAACTCGGTTGCTCAGACTGGGCAGGCACTAGGAGCCGCCCATTCCGAGACATCCTTCTCCATTCCGGGATCCTGGCACGCATCTACCAACCGACCATTTGACCCCCTCACCTCGCATGGCCACATCCACTGCTTCATGGCACCAAAGCCTCACATACCCGCCATGGAACCGCCATAACCCACCTATCGTGCCCAACCTTTGGTTCGTACGACAAACAACAGAGCATGAGGACGCATTTGTCTCTCCTTCGAATGGTTCTAATTGAAAGGAGCAGACAGAAACCACTCGAGACGTTTCTCAGTCCTGCACTTATATATGCTTTTTCTGCTTTCTGGTCTACCTTAGCGTTGCAATTCCTATACTTTTTCCAACGGCCCTCCTATACTGTACTTATGATTCCCTTCACCCCAATCGATGCGTGGCGTTTATGAAGGATATGTTTAGCATTTTGCATTGTTTGTCCCTTTGGTTCGGCGTATGGGACTAACTTTTTTCCATTCTTGTGTGTTTTGGGTGTTTTGCACGGACAACACGCTGATGCGTGGACACGAGGTTTAGCACGATGGGGTTCTCAGGATCTCGGATGAAGAGTAAGATACAAACACAACATGATATTCTCAACATTTGCACTTGGCCTGTTTGCCACTTGGAACGTCGTGACTTTGATACTCGTACATTGAAAATACATATACGTCTAGATCTTGGGACGCACGTCGAGATTGGACCACCACGGGTATCCAAAAGGCCGTTGGTTCTGCATCGTGCCCGTAAACTTGGGCGGCCTCTTTTGCAGGAAGCTCTGCACGCCCTCGGCCGAGTCGGTGTCGGGGCACGTGAGGCTGTAAAAGATTTTACTCTCGAGGAGGTGCGCCTCCTCGGGCGACTTGGGCCCCGAGTACATCATGTCCTTCATGACCTGGGTGGAGACGATGCTGCAGTTTTGCGCCATGCCCTCGGCAATCTTGAGCGCCGTGGGCAGCACCTGCGCCGGCTCGACGACCTCGCTAAAGAGGTCGTCAAACAGGCGGTGCGTGGCCGGGTACACGGCGCCGGTGCTGACGAGGTGCATCGCCTTTGACGTGCCAATGAGGCGCGGCAGGAAGAAGCTGCTGCAGGCCTCCATGCAGAAGCCGCGCTGGGCAAAGACGAAGCCGCACTTGGCCTGGCTGCTGGCGACGCGCACCGTCGCCGGCAGCGTCATGGTCATGCCGATGCCGACGGCCGAACCGTTGACGGCCGCCACGATGGGCTTCTGGCACCGGTGCATGGCAATGGACACGGTGCCGCCCGAGTCCCGGTACTGCAGCGGGTCCTCGACGCGCTGCGCAGTCACGTTGAAGTCCATGCCCGCGCAAAAGAACTTGTTGGTGGCGTCGGCCGAGGTGAGGACGATGGCGCGCACGCGCGGATCCTCGGAGAGCAGCCCATAGGCCGTCACGAGCGACGCGCCCATGGTGTCGGTGTAGGCGTGGCGCGACTCGGGACGGTTGAGACGCACAATGATGACGGGCGTCACCGTCGGCGACGACTCGGGGTGGTGCGACAGCGAGATGTCGGGCAGGGACAGGGTGTTGTAGCTGTCGGGGAATGAGGGCGCCATGGTTGCGGGTGTAGTGCGGCCGGGTGACGCTGGTATACTGAAGAGGGCAGAATAATGCAGTTGAGAAAGGAGAGAAAAACCATGTGTTGGATATAAATTTTGGGTTGAGGTTGCTCGGCTGCGGAGCTGTCTGGCCCAGGAAGCTAGCCCGTGCCGAGGTTCGGCACAGGCTATTTGCTGCAATCATTGGCCGTGACGCATGCATCAACCTTGATATCAAGATTGGGGGTTGCATGTTCCAGACTTTCCAGATCAAGAATATTTACTGAGCCTAGTCGAAACATGTTCCTTTGTCACGTTTGTCGCACACTCCTGTTCTCTTCCCATTCTACATCATCCGGGTATAAGTGGACAGTGCCCAAACACAGTGTGTAACCCAGTTGGAACTGTACGGAGCAAACAAGCCCCAGCTGCAGGATCCTGGGGTCGCGTTGGAAATCTCCACCAGCTGAAGAAAGCTCCAATAAACATGCCATCGCATCAAAGGTTTCAGAGACATCTATCAAGCGAGATAAGCAGTGGCAATGCATCTTGCCCTGGATCATGGTCTACGACTGGGACACACACCAAGAAACATGTTATCAGCTATATATCCAAGAGGGCCGGTCCCTCGAGGACATCATGGAATACCTAAAGGCCGCCCACGAGTTTTGCCCTAGGTGAGTGACTCACACACGCCGAGAAACACGCAGTCAGCCCAAAGAGGGGGAGAAGGGGACTGTCATTATGACAAACATTTTCATGGTGCTTTTGAAGAGCCGGTTCACTCGTATGAGTGCCGGGATTGGATGAGCGAGGCTTCCGGTATTCCTGCCCATCATGAACTGCTCCCATACCCTCGTCCGTAGCGTCTTTGCCTCATTATCAATTTTCTCAAGCATCCTTTTCACCTATGTTCTATTATTTCACCCCGTCTTTTGCACTATTTCCTTGACTTACACAAACGGGGCGTTATTTGGGGCGAGAGGGACAAGCAAGCACACAAGCCGTTCACTCTGTACTTCACGTGAATGCTTTGCTCTCCCTTTCACTCTGAAAAAGCTCCATTCTTCTGCAGCAAGCGAGCCTTTCAGACACAATTTCGTCGTTGGAATTTTCCAGCCAAGCAGAGGCCGGCACACAAGAATGACCGACTGGTCGCCCGCATCAAGGAACTTTGGGAGAAGAACCTAGCTCAGCGGGAAATGCTCCGCATCCTCAACGAGGAAGACGGCTATGATATAAAGCCGCGCGAGCTCATGCGGGTGCGCACCAAGAATCGATGGCTTCTGCGCGTTCCCAACTCAACCGTGGATGCGACTTTGGTCCTACCCGACGGCGGGCACAACGACGACCACGATGGCACTGATGACGATAGCGAAGTACGCGGGGAACATATTGATCTCGACTATTCCGTCGCTACTTCACACGATAATAACGACATGACTATGCAGGAAAGTGACAGTGGTAATGGCACTCCCGTGACGGCCCCTGGTGGGAGTCGGTCACGGCGCCGCAGACGGCAAAGTGGACAAGACGTGCAGTCGACGACAGCCAGCGGCAACAACCGTTTTCCTTCCGAAATGACCATTGACGAAGCTCGCGATATACTCAGCCTCGATACGGCCACATACCGTACATTGCGGACCAATTTCAAGCAGATATGTAACGAGGACAGCCTCTCACGCAAGACAGAAGCAGGGCCGGAGCGCTGGGCGGCAGCAAAACAGCGTCTCATTGGAAGTTCTCTTGCGCTGCAGCGCATGCTCTGGGTCAACAGTACCGTGACCGGCGGCGATCTCGGTGGCAGCACTCATAGCTTTGATCAACGGCAGCTCGCTCTCGACGTCATCTGCACCGATGTCACCAAACGACTGCGTACGCTCGAGACGCGGATGACACTAGGCGAAGCCAAGGCTGTGCTCGGTGTCAACCCAACCGAATCGCGCGACATGCGCGCTGCGCTGCACACTGTACTGCTAGAAGCGCGATTCGTGAGTAAGTCGGATGCCACGCCGCAGCAGTGGGAGGGGCTCAAGCAGCAATGGGGTCAGCGGGCACCGGTCGTGCAGGCGATTCTAGAGAATGTGTCTGGGACAGAAGAAGCCAAGACCAAGATGCGTGCGCTCGAGATGGTCGCGAGCGATGTTATGAAGCGGTTACGAGATCAGCGCAGATCGAGGCAGTCCCTGGCAGGGACCAGTAGAAGCAGCCATCGACAAGAAATGCAGGCAGTGAGCAGCACGACGCATAGCTCGCCCAATACGGCGGCTGGCCAGATGGAGCTAGCGGAGAGCCTGGCAGGAAGCAACTTCGACGACTTGTCCGAGGTTCCGCAGATGACATTTGACAGCCCCGGCAGCGACGCCATGCACATGCCCCTGACCTTGTCACAGGCCTCCTCTCTGACGGTGGATGGGTCACAGCAATCGGGGCGCGGTGTTTTGAGCACCATGAACGCCGCCATGCAGCTAAACTCACCGGGCATGGGCGGCCCAGGGGTGCTCCTCTCGCCGGGCAGTCAGGCAGCATTCTTGGGTCACCATCACCAGCCATTCTACAGTGCGACTGCAGTCGCGGCAGCGTCCTCCGCATCTGTTGCCAGTGCTTCGCCGCAGATGTATCCGCAACCGCCGTGCACGTCTTCTCGCGGAGGAGGGGGAGGGGGAGGAGCTGGGCCCGACGTGCCAGCCTGCGCCGTCTACCTGCGGCTGCACCCGTCGTCGAGCTTTATAACCGAAATGAGCCTATGGGTCGCCACGTTGGGATCTCACTCGGTGCAGGAGCTTCGGGAGTCGGCCGTGGCCCGGTTTCCCGGCGCCGCATGCATCCGCGTCGAGGGCGTCATCAAAGATGGCAAGGGTGGAGAGTTGCCGCTGCAGATTGAGCACGAGCAGGAGCTGGCGGCCTATCTGGCGCACATGCAAGGGGCCTCGCCTACGTTTAACGTGCAGCTTGTGTGGAAGGATACATGACATGATTCATCCTACATTGGAAACATGGTTCGAGGGAGCCGGCTTCCTCTGCTTGTCCAGATGTGACGGATATGCGTCAGCCCTATCCTGTCTCAACTACACTGCCTTGAATAGAGATGGTTTTTTTTTTTTTTTGGTATTTCACGAAGCTGATTGCTTTTTTAGTGGCCTTGTTTTATCAGTGCCAATATAAAGCGTACATATCAATAAACACTGTCTGAATCCCACGCCAGTATTGGAGCTCGGAGACCATAGGCGGGGGAACAAGACGGCAGGCGAACAAGACGGCAGGCGCGGGCTGACGGCAGGATGGATACATTTGCAGGCCAGAATCCACCTGTTCCACCTATTTTGTCTCTTACTAAAAAGTTCGCTTTGATCAATTTTGTAGTAATAGTGCAACCAAGACGGAATTATAGTCCCCAGATGCCGTGGTCGTGCCAGTACCGAGCGAACATAGGCGGTGGTGGAACACCGAAGTCGTTGTCCGGGCCGGACTCCACTCTCTCCACACTGGAGGTGCAGCTTAGCAAACACTACAAGGAAAAAAAAGTCCACTTCATCCGACATTCTCGAATCCATTATCCGGCCAATTCAACTACCCTGCTTTGCGCTCTTCGGACCATTCAGAGCGCCTTAAAAAGATTGTCGGGGTCTCTTCCCCTATTCTTCTCTCCGACAACCCGCAATTCGCTCGCACCGGTTCGAATCTCCCTCCCCCCCCCTTGTTCCCCCCAACATTCAATCTCTCGAAGACGACACAGCCTCCATTCACAATCGATGGCGCATATGCGAGGCGGCGCCGTGCTGCAAAGCGCCCGCCATCAGTTACCACTACGCAGCATAGCCGCGGGACGTTCGCCCGTGGTCGTCGCGCGTTGGTACAGCATGCAAATTGAGCCGGAGCACCCCAAGCCCCCGCGGGAGGGCAACTCGGCCAAGCTGGGCCGGTCGTTCCAGGGTCAGGTCATGGGCAGCATCGGCGCGCGTCTGCGTCGAGAGCGCGAGCAGCGCGCGCAGTACGAGCAGTGGCGCAATACCACGGATCCCGCGAGAAATTGGATGATTACCTTTTGTAAATCCACCCCCTCCCCCTTCTGAGAAGTGGTTTACCCCCTCTGGTGATGCAAACTAACATGGAAAAAAAGTCTTTCTCTCGAGCGTTGGCGTCGCGTACTGGCTGGGCACGTACTGGCCACGCGAGCCTGAGCCCTCTTCGACACTTCCACTGCCCAAGTCCAAGGTCCCCTTGCACAATACCAAACTCGAGAACATGCAGGCGGCGTGGGCCGACTTTGTGCGCGTCCTGGGAAAGGACCACGTTAGCACGCTCGAGGCCGACCTAGAGCAGCACGCGACGTCCGACTGGTCCTCACACCGGGCCAAGTCGGACGAGCGGCCGTTTTGCGTCGTGTATCCGAGCTCGACGGAGGAGGTGGCCGAGATTATGAAGATTTGCCACCTGCGCCGCATCCCCGTCGTGGGGTACAGCGGCGGCACGAGCATCGAGGGCCACTTTACACCGACACGCAAGGGCGTATCGATTGACTTTGGCCGCATGGACAAGATTGTGCGACTGCACAAGGAGGACCTCGACGTGGTGGTGCAGCCGGCGGTCGGGTGGGAGCGGCTCAACGAGGCGCTGGCCCAGGACGGCTTGTTCTTCCCGCCGGACCCGGGCCCCGGAGCCATGATTGGCGGCATGATTGGCACTGGGTGCAGCGGCACAAACGCCTACCGCTACGGCACCATGCGCGAGTGGGTGCTGAGTTTGACGGTGGTGCTGGCGGACGGGACCGTCATCAAGACGCGGCAGCGCCCGCGCAAGAGCTCCGCCGGCTACGACCTCACCAAGCTCTTCATCGGCTCCGAGGGGACCCTGGGGCTCGTGACCGAGGCGACGCTCAAGGTCACGGTCAAGCCCGAGTCGACGAGCGTGGCCGTCGGCACGTTCCCCACCATTGGCCACGCGGCGCGCTGCGTCGCGCAGGTCGTGGGCCGGGGCGTGCCCATTGCCGCCATTGAGATTCTCGACGACAACCAGATGCGCTTCATCAACGAGGCGGGCACGACGTCGCGCGCGTGGCCCGAGGCGCCGACGCTCTTCTTCAAGTTTGCCGGCACGCCGGCGGGCGTCAAGGAGCAGGTGGCGACGGTGCAGGCGTTGGCCAGGCAGGCCGGCTCCCAGACGTTTGAGTTTGCGCGCAGCCAGCAGGAGCAGGACGAGCTGTGGAGCGCGCGCAAAGAGGCGCTCTGGAGCGCCATGGCGGTCATGAATCCCGGGGACCGCGTCTGGACGGGGGATGTGGCGGTGCCGATGAGCAGGCTGCCGGAGCTGATTGACGAGACAAAGGAGGATATGCGCAAGAGTGGTCTTCGGGGCTCGATTGTCGGCCACGTAGGAGACGGCAACTTTCACTGTAAGTGCTTTTTTCCGTTCCTCACAATGAGGGAGCTTTTTTTTTTTAAAAAGGACGAGTGGGCTAACGAAGCGGTG